TGGGGGGGGGTGGCGGTGAGGGATGGTCATCTCTGGTCTGCCCCCCACCCACCCCGCCCACAGATAGCACCAGCCCTTCCACCTCTCCTGCGAGGCCTTTGCTGAGTGGCACTGGCCGGGGCCAGCATAGACCAGCCTTCTCAGTCCCTTCCTTCTGGAGATGAGGGTACATCATGGCGCCTTCTCTAATTAACACTCTAGGTATGGATATGCTTTTGGAATAAAGCACAGCTCTCTAAGGGAGAACAAGTGTGTTCTCTGGGATTCGCTCAGTGAAGGAGATGGAAGGTCCTGGGAAGGTCCTGAGTCCACACCTTCGTCACCCAGTGTGCACATGAGTGTGGCTTCCTGGCGCCTGCCTGCTGGCTTGGGCTCCACTGCCCACAGCAGAGTGGGAGTTCTTCAGAAGTTGAAGTTCCCATGCAGACCACCTGGCCCCTGTAGTCTGGCCTCCCTTAGCATTTGGTCTCCTTTTGTAACTGACCAAACCCAGCCTGAAAAGTGGAGTTAAACCCAAGCTCAATACAATTACATCCTTCACCACGTACATCTGAAGTCCTGCCCATTCTCTGGAGCAGGAGGCTGCCTCCGCCCAAGACTGCCACATCTCTGTCCCCACGTGGCCACTGTTGCAACGAAGCCCGTGATGTCTTCTTCCCTGGCCCCTCCATTCCCACTGTGTCCACCCCAACCGGAACAAGCCCCTCTGGTCTTCTTTTCTGAATCCTGCAGGTGATGGGTGCCGCGGGCGCGAGCTGCTGGTTGGGGCCCCTTTCCCTTCCTCGGGTGGGGGAGGGTGGAGAAGAGCCAGGCATGCTGGAAGTTACTTGCATGGGCTTAGCAGCCAGGCTTGCTTTGCTTTGAATGAACTGAGAGGTCTGTATGGTGCTTATCCCGGTGTCTGGCACCAAGTGCTCAGTGAGTGGTAGCCACCTGTTAGCTGTCCAGGTCAAACCAGTCCCCTCCGCCTGCATCTCCTCCCTCCCGCCTGCTTTGGTGCTTTCAGTGATCTGTGTTCTCTCCTGTTCCAACTTCCTTTCCCTTCGCATAGAGGCATGTTTGGCTCATGTTTTAAACATCCTCCCCTAGACCCCGGATCTTTGCTGACCCCATCCTCACTCCCTGTCCTCTTCACTCCTCTCCGTATTCAGCCTCCTGCCCCCAGACACCTGCCCCTCAGTCCAGGGAGCTGGCTCCTGCCAGAGCAGCAGTGGTCTCCAGCCGGCCAGGCTGCCACAGGCCTGCGGCCTCTGCTGACGCCCTCCCCTCCGCCGCGTGTTTTCCCCTCGCCGAGTGGGTCCCTGCCGCCCACAGCTCCCTCTCCAGCACCAGCCCAGGGCTGAGTGCACGGTTCTTCAGATGGGGACTAGGCCCAGCCCAAGCAGCAAATCAGACCGGGACACATTACCAGTGAAAGTGTTTAATAGTTAAATTACTCAAATAGACTTTTCAGTTTCCATGGGAAATCATAATTGTATCCGTTTTTGCAAGAGCAGGAGTAAAAAGAGTGCACACCCCTTAAAGGGAATAAAAAGCCAGCACTGCACATGAGCCGGTGGGGGTCATGACAACAGAGGGAACATAGGAGGAACTCTGCGCGCGGCGCGCGCGCGCGCACACACACACACACACACACACACACACACACACACACACGTTACTCAGGTTGGAAGCAAAATGAAAACCCAGCACCCCTGGCAGGTGCTGGGGTGAGGACTGGAGAACAAGACGTGGAGGAGCCAGCCTGGCGAGAGCACAAGGCCGATGCAGAACTCAGGGCGGACAGCAAAGGCGGACAGACTCGGGCTGGCAGTTTTGGGTCCGTAGCCTTGCTTCAGGGCTGTGTTCGGACGGGTGGGCGATGGGTGTGGGGGAGGCTGGCGCCAGTGTCCAGCCAGAGGTGGAGCGAGCAGGTGGGCATCAGAGTCACGTCCCAGCAGCTGGCACCCAGCTGCCACCCCACCCCCTTCCAGCTTGTGTTGGAGGTGAGAATAGTTCCGCCCTGAGAAGCAATGAAAAGATCTGGGCACAGGCCCCAAGGATTCTGTTTGGAAATATCTCTGATAGTATATCATTTTCCAAATGCCTCCTTCCTAGGGTATAAAAATAGAAATTTTTTCTTGGTATATTGAACTGTCCCCTCCCCAAAAAACAAAAACCAGACAAACCAAACTTTCTGCTAGCTTTGCTCTGTGGACTCTGAAGCTGGCTCTACCCTTTCCTTTGTCTGGTTTGCAGGCGGAGGGCAATGCCACCCCCTTTCCCTGAACCTAAGGGCTCCACATTACACCCCAAGTCTGAGGGACCATCTTCGGGAGAGGCACCTCGGCCAATCGAGAGAGGCCGGCAGGCTTCCTTGCCTCCACCAGGCTGAGCACCGGGACCCGCCTGCAGGCAGCGAAGGGCTGAGGTCTCAGGGAGCGAGAGGGGAGAGCAGCTTTCTGTTTCCTTCTTATTCCATTTGCATTTCTCCCAGGGGCAGTGATCTGTGTGTGTCTGTGTGTTAGAGAGAGACGGGCAATGTGTCCACGCATCTTCCTACTTAATCTTTAGAACATACGGTAACCCAAAAGGGCACACTCCCTGCTCGGGTTGGACCTGGGAAAACCCAAAACTGCCAAATCCGAAGTGAGGAAAACAGGCGTCCTGTACGTGGCCAGTTCCACAGCACAGACACACACGCACGCACACACCATGCACACTTGGACGTATGGACAGTACAAATGAGCACACACACGCCCCGCTGTGCAGCACAGCTGTGTTCTAATATAGAGAATTTACAAAATATAGAATTTGGTATATTTGTTAGATCTCCAAGGTTTTCAATAATACAAAATAAAAAATACAAAAAGACAAGTTGGGACCCGGCCTCCCTCCCCAGCAGCGTCCCCGGTGGCCAGTGGGTCTCTCGCACGTGGACAACTAGCAGAGGCTAAAGAAGGGCGCAGAAACAGGTTTTGTTTTATTTAATAAATATTTTCCTTTTCTCAGAACCGCCACTCCTGGCTTCGAGTCCTCTGGCCTCCCGCTCGCAGTTAGTTCTCTTCCCCGCGGAGGGGCATTGTCTGTGTGTGTGTGTGTGTGTGTGTGGGTGGAGGGGCGACTGTGGTGAAGGCCACAGTCCTTCCAAAGCCAGCACTCCTGCCCGGCGGCTGCCTCCATGGGGCAGGGGCCAGGTCTGCCTGAAGTTTAAAGGCTCGTCTAGAAAAGCAGACCCCTCAGAGCCCCTAGGCTCCCTCCAGCCAGAGTCGCTCGCCTTCCCCCCAGGCCTCTCCCTCAGCCCTGCCCTCGCGCTGGGTGGCCATACGCCGATCCACGAGCCAGGAGCTCCTCCACCCGCGCAGCAGCAGCACCCGTGAGAAAACTCAAGATCCAGGTCACGTCCAGCGGAGTCTTCTCCAGAGGGAGTCATCTTTGGTCAGTGTGGTGCTCGCAGGACGCAGGCACCCTGCCTGGGACAGAGGCTGCTGCCCGCCCACGAAGGCAGAAACTGCTTTTGGAATCAACGTGGAAAATCTCAAGGGCGCGGCCACCTGGGCGGGGGCGCGGGCTTCCACCCGCCCGCCCGGCACACAAAGAAGCCGTTGTGTTTCTCCAGAGGCCAGCTGCCTGGCATCGTCATCTGGCAGCTGCTAACTGAGCGGGGGCCCTCCGTTGAGGAAGTAGGTCATCATCTCGCCTTTGCCCTTGACCTTGACCACACCCCGGCACTCCAGCTGGTACGTGTTGGCAGCCAGCACCTGGTACATGTCCGTGGTGACCTGAGGAGGCAAAGGAGGAGGGAGGACAGGCCATCCACGACCGGAGCCGTGAATCTGCCCGCGGGCAGAGCTGCCTTTGACACAGAAGGGCGGGCGGGGGCATCTCCCTGGCCCAGGCTCCCAGGGACGGACACTGCTTGCCCAGGAAAGTGCCTCTCCGTGCTGTGCCAGCAGCGGCGAGCCTCCGGTGCCCTTGCAGTGCCGCTCAGCGTGGCCGTAGTCCACGTGAGAAGTGCAGAGGCTGAGTCGGTGGGAGGAACTCCTGACCCAACCACGCACCTGCCTGGGGCGTTTTCCAAGGTCTCCCTCCAGGACAGAGCAGAAGTATTCTAGGTGACCCACAGGGAGAGTGAGGATGCTGACCTCACCAACCCTGTGAGTGAAGTACTATGATTTCAGGCTCTAAACATCTGAGTCACTGCCTGAGGATACGCAGCTAGGCCAGGCAGGGCCGGCCTCAGTTCGTGGCGCACCTCCCGTCTCTCCTTCAGCTTTTGGAACAAAGAGGAGAACTCACAGGTGGCTCCGGCCATCACACTACCCTTGTGCAGGGGGAGGGGGAGGAGGGGGTGATGGGAGCAGCAGAGGACCAATGCCTCACAAGGTGATCCAAGAGCCACTTCTGAGAACGGCCAGCACGCCTCCGCCAGCCAGCGGCAACTCCCCAGCAAGCGTTCCGGCCCAGCCCAGCCGCCAGGCCAGGGAAGACAGGGCCAGAAACCTCTGGGAGGGCTGCCGGGAGATGACCCTGCCGTGTCACCAAGTGTATTTGCCAATGGCGAGGCCCTTTGCCAGCAGAGGTGCTGGATTGTTGTGTGGCTGCTGACAGCATCGCTCACACCTGTCATGGGTGAGGTCAGGAGCTCTGCAAACACACGTTCCTCTCTCCTCATCTCCCCTCACGATCCCCAGTTCCCATCTGCTATCGCTTCTCCCTTGGCACAGGGATGGAGGGAGAGGCCATTGACCAGGCCCCTCAGACAGCAGGCCGGGCTGGGCTGGCCAGGGCCATGCTCAGAGCCAACCCCTGTGTTCAGAGTCCTCGCAGGAAAGAGACGTTAGGGGACATATGAGTGGTGTCAGTGTGAGCAGAAGCCATAAAACAAGCTCCATTAGCATTTGGGACAACGGAGGCCAGGGAAGCTAAGGGGCCTGCCCACAGCTCACAGAGAACTGGGGTATGGGAAGTGGGGGTGCCCAGTCCAGGCTTCTCTGCTGTCAGATTGAAGCAGAACGAATCAAGAAAGCCCTGAGGAAAACAAAGAAATGCAG